TCAATCTCCTCCTTTTTCTCAATGTCAACCTCTTTCAGAAAAGAAACTAACGGTTCATCATTCAAATCAAAACCCTTTTGCTTCAAATCATCCCCTTTATTTTCCTCAGTATCTTGGCTTGGCAAAACCTTATCTTTCTCCGGTTTGCCATGGCCAGATCCTAAGCCCCCTTCCATCTCTTGCAAAACCCTAGCGTCGAAAAGGCTCGTCTTTTTTTTTTTTTGGCTCACAAAACCATTTAACTGGAAACATACCAAAACAAAACCAGTAAAGAAGCCCCCATTGGTTTCACTTGGGCCACAGAAAAACTTCACTGCCCAAATTACTCAGCAGGATCTCAGAATACTTTAAAATCAAGAGCCTGGGATTTAAAAACCAAAAGAAATCTATAAAAAAAAAAATTGTACCAAATAGTCGTATCAAAACCGGAAAGTGATCACAAACCTTACCAATGCAGCAGAGTGAACGGAATCCTAAACCCCAACGGCGTCGTACTGCAATATCGAAAAAGAATGCCGGAAGGTCATTGCCATGGCGTTTCGGAGATTGGGGTTTTAGAGAGCGAGAGAGAGGATGGGGACTTCTTTAAGGTCTGGGGCTTGGCGTTATTACGGCTCATCGGTGGTTGTATGTACTATGGTACCAGGCTACAATCGAAGGTAGTCGGATGGGTAAGATTGTCTTTTCAAGTTGAACCCTCCTTTTCATTTTCCCTCCATATTTCCGCACAATTTCTTTCTTGTCTGCCTAAATTGAATATCAAGGTTCACTCGGATTGTGTTCGAGTTCAATTTCAAAAACGAATAACATACGTGGAAATTCTAACCACTTTTATACATGACATCAACTACCAATACGTAGTATTAAATTCAAAATAATTTTTTTTAATTCCTTCATTAAACTCTTAAACTATACTTATATAAAGATTGTTTTCTGTCCTTTATTTATTTCATATTTATATGAGAATTAATTTTTATTTTAAATCTGAATTTTTCTAAAGAAAATTACAATTCAACATAATCACCAACTCTTCCCAAGAAAATTTCATTTAACACAATTCAATTATGGAAATAAGTATATTTGTGCAAAGCAATAATAATTACTAACAAATGCTAGTACAATATTTGCCCAATTTTTCACATCTCCAATAACAACATGAAATTTAAATTGAGTGTCTAAAATCATTTTAAGAAAATGCAAATGATATTAACAAGTTCTATTATTAAGTAATTCAAATATACGTCTCAACATATACATTAAAATTCTTATAAAATCATAATTGTTTAAATTACTTGATTTAAATTTTTATTTAAATAATAATGAACAAAACGGTCTCAATATATATATAAAAAAAAAACCTCCAAAATTAAGGAGATGTGACAAGTATGTACATATCTACTATAGTTGTTGAGGTATGGTCATGGCAGCATGAACACCATCAAGAATCAAAGATTGTTCTGGTTTGGGCTTTAGCTAAGCTATGGTTTACGATTCTCTTCTTTTTGTGAGAACGTACAAGAAACATTTGTAAGCGACAAGCATCGAAGAAACTTGATTTTGAAGTGCACCCAAAGGGTTGCAGTATTGTGGATGGTCGAGGCCAAGCCAAGCATTTATCAAAGACTGGAAATGTCCCAGAATTGTCATCAAATGCCTAAACAATCCTCTCTCCTTTCGGATCACAAGTCATAGACTAGTGCCAACCCTTCTTTCCTATTTAATTTTGAGGAAGCGACCTAGGCAGCCAGCTAAACTAGAGAGGCCCATTTAGCCTGCGAAGCGTTTGATGGTCTACCAATTAGGATAGACCAAGTCCACCGTACGCCCATGTTATTGTTAGATCCACGTTAGTTATAAAGTGCTGCCAATCGCAAAAAAAGAAAAAAACTTTGGCCTTAAAGCTTCAAAGATGGGCCATTCCCATTTATGAAGGCACACCAACAACACCTCCGCTTTTCAAGTTTCATTTATTTATTTTTTGATATAATATTTAAAAAAATCTTCAAATTAATTTTCTGCAATTCACCTTTTCCATATAATCAACACAATCTTAATAGATATTTCCCAAAGCACTGGAAGGTTTTTCTCATTTAACTGCTTCACCACCGTCACGTTGTCTAACTCCTCCTCTATTATTCCCATATCATTAATGACCAAACCCGGGACGGTAACTCTGCATCCTCAACCTGACCACCAAAATTAAACTTTGATGTACTTGCCAAAATCATTTCACCGTAAGCATCACGCAAGACAAATCTCGCTTCTATCATTTTAACTCCATTATTGACAAAGATCGTAGCATCAGTGTTTAATTTATTTCTTATAAATTTTTTTTCAGTGATCACAAATTCTTGTTATTATTTTTTATTAATTTTTATATTTTTATTTTAAATTAAATAAAATTTTATTATTAATAATTATTTTAATTAACATACTATTTATCATTTTATATTATATGATATTGACGTAACATGTTAATATATCATAATCAATAATAATATGATATATCATAATTGATAATGACAATATCATATGATATTTTTAAATTTTTATTGTAATATCATGTTAATATTATATATATATAATAATAATTAATATTTTAATTAATAATAATTAATTAATTATTAGTAATATAAATTTATTTGATAAAAAAAATAAAGATTTGATTGAATGTGATAAAAAAATAAAAAAAATTTTAAATTTTTTTAATAATTTAAAAACTTTTTTAAATATTTTTTTTTCTTTTTCTTTCCGTACACACGTTCTATTAATCTTGCTAGCCATTTGATCACATGCTAAAAACCATGATACACAATTGCTCTCCATTAATGGTTCCGAAAAAAATGGACAATCGTCGCTCCACGAACGAGAACACGGGGTTGAGTTTGAGGCTGCCTAAGGATTGGGCTGGACAGATTTTAGTTGACTTGGGCTGCTGCCTGCCACACCCAATAGGCCTCTAGGCTCATTATACTTTTTTGGGTCGAATGCTCATTGGACATTGTCGGTTAAGGCGCAGCCTGTAGCCGTCCGTAAGGGTTTGTAGTATTTGATTGTTCTCTCTTTTCACTTTTGACGTTAAACATTTTCCTCTGAAGAGGACGATCTTTTTCGCGATCTTTTGAATCTTTTGAGCAAGATACAAAACGATCGCTTCGAATAGCTTACGCCCTTTGATTAGATTCTGATGGGCCGCCTGACATCCACCGTCGAAATCCCGGATCGAAGACACCAATCCGGCCGCGAAAACGGCCGACACAGATCAGAATCCGATGATTCCCCCAACTATCGTCGCCGCCGCCGTAGCCCTAGCTACGAAGCCTATGAACGTGACCACCAAAGCCGCAACGTTAACCAGCAGCGCAACTGTTCTGGTTCACCTGAATACCGGAACCCTAGAAGACAAAGCCCTGTCGAAATTCCTGAAAGAAGACATCATTTTGACCGCGAAAACGTTCGCTACGCATCCGAATCAGATGATTCTACCGATTATCGCCGCCGCCGTTACAGTCCCAGTTACGACATCTATAACCGTGGCCAACATCGAAAACGCCATCCTTCTGAGTCACCTGAAGGCCGAAACCCTAGAAGACGAAGCCCTGTACATGACCGACCCCTAAACTCTCTGCCAAAAGAATTCGGTAAGAATCGTAACTACCTGGACCGAAATTATCGGAATGGAAAGCATTCGGAGTCCGAATCTGATGAGGAGTTGAAGGGATTGAACTTTGAAGAGTATAGGAGGCTGAAGAGGCAGAAGATGAGGAAGACAATGAAATTTTGTATTTGGGAGAATACGCCGAGTCCGCCAAGGAATGAAGACGATGATTTGGAGGCTAGAGCTGATGAAATTTCGGAGAAGCATGCTGAGGAGAATGACAATGAGAAGAGCAATTCGGATAAAGAAAAAGAGAAGAAGAGCGCTAAGAGAGTGAAAGTCAAGTCTGAGTCTGAAAAATCTGCAAGTAGTGAGTCAGAGAGCCAGTCGGAAAGTGATTCAGATTCTGAATCCGATGGATCGAGTTCTAGGAAGAGGAAGAAGGGGTCAAGTTCTAAGCGTAGAAGTGGGAATAGCAAACGTGGAAGTAGGAAATCATCGTCTTATAGTGATAGCGAATCTAATGAGAGTGAGAGCGAATCCGATGATGAGGAAGATAGGAGGCGGAGAAGGAAGTCCAGGAGAAAGCAGAGTAGGCGAAATAAGAGTAGCAAGAAAACAAGTAGAGGAAAAAGAAGCAGAAAGAACAGTAGGTATAGTTATTCCAATGAGAGTGGGAGTGGTGAAAGTGAAACTGATGTATCTGAGATGAGTCGGTCTTCTGATGATCGTGTCAAGTCAAAGAAGCGGAATACCTCTTCAAATTCAAGGACTATGAGGAGTAAGAAAAGGAGACAATCAGAGAGTGATAGTCAAGGTTCATATTCGGATAAGAGCTCAGATTCTGGAGTTGATGCCAAGAGTAAAGTAAAGGCAGATGAGGCTAAGGTGTCTGAAATTAGTGCTGAGGCTCTTATGTTTAAAGAAATGATAGAGGCTCAGAAGAAACCTGCATTGGATAATGAACCAATGGTTGGCCCAGCGCCATTGCCAAGAGCTGAGGGACATATAAGTTATGGTGGTGCTTTGAGACCTGGTGAAGGTGATGCTATTGCGCAGTATGTGCAGCAAGGGAAGCGAATCCCACGAAGAGGTGAAGTGGGTCTTTCTGCTGAGGAGATTCAAAAGTTTGAGAGCCTTGGGTTTGTGATGAGCGGTAGTAGACATCAGAGAATGAATGCCATTCGTATTAGGAAAGAAAATCAGGTTTACAGTGCAGAGGACAAGAGGGCATTGGCAATGTTTAACTATGAAGAGAAAGCAAAACGTGAGCACAAGGTTATGGCTGATTTACAA